CAGGAGTCATGTGTTTAGCTTTCCATTTGCTGTGCAATTGTTGGCAGTCAGGTGTTGCCATGGTATCCTCCTGTGCTGAACACCCCACTGCTGGGGACCGGCAGCTCCTTGCCTGGCATCCAACCCATTCGCCTCTAACCCAGAAAAGCCCTGCCTGGTCAGCTCCTGGAGTTCTACCATTTGTCCCGTGTGACCTGATTACAGCTTTGATCGATGGCCAGAGCTGCCATCTGCAAAGTACTCAAAGCTCCAGCAAAAGGCTGCTTTGATTTCTTTTCAGCGCCTTAAAAGTACTCATAAAGTCACCTTGAGCACACAAAGATGACTTCTCTTTCTCTTCTTGATGAGATTTCACAGATGATCTGATTAGAAAGTGTTTGCTACTGGGCTGCACTGCCACGGGCAGGAATGATACTCTTTTGACTCTGTTTCTGGCTTTTTCCTGATTCTCTTACTAAATTGAGGTTTTTAACCTAGTGTGATTCTCTGGTGGTTTTGTCATGAAGTAGAAAAAAATTCTAATGATTTGTACTCCGAACACCTCAGGCTTTCACATAAACGAAATGTCCTGAAAACAATTATGTCTCATTCATCAGCAAAGCATTCCCCCTGCCTGTCTGTGAGTGCTTTTCCCTGATCAGTACAGCCACATGGGGAGCTCGCTGTCTGCTAAGGGCTTGGATGTGCTGCCTTAATGCCACACACCATGGAAAGTGCTTCTGAGGAGAAACTCAGTGCATTCTTGTTTGTTCCACAGCAACAAAGAAATGGGAAAAAAAAACCCCAACCCACTGTCATAAGGCAGATTCTGAATTTTACCTCAGTATAACATAAATATAGCCAGGCCTAACACATTATGAAACAAGATAAAAATAAACTTTTGTCTTTATGTGGTACCACATAATTGAAATGGACAAAGGTCCAGATGTACCACATGAATCTTGAATAATTGTGTTTAAAAATATTCAAAAGAATCACAATAATTTATTTTAGGCTGAGGATGTGGAATATGATATCTTATTAGTTTATAGGAATATGAAGTATTCATCAAATTGTCTTGTACTTCTTATTGCCTTTGAGGTCTCACTAGTCTTTTGGATGATTAGCTGCGACATTCCTCTCAACAGTTACAATTCCAGAGAGGCAGGAAAAAGCAGAGAAATAAAATCATTCCCAAGAATCATCAGAAACTCAGCAATACAAACTGCAGTGGCAGAGGTAGGGTGCAAAACAGACAGGTATTTACTGAGTCAAGTCAATATTCAACTGAAAAAGGAAAAACTCTGTTTCCTGCAAGTTGGGAGACTAAAAAATGAATATATAGCAAAATTGGTTTCCCTCTGGTATTATTACCCTGCTGTTCAGTATCTTGGAGAATAACAAAAGAAAGGGAGAAGTAGAACAGCTCAGAGTAAGCCCCCTTGGACATGGCAGCCCACAGGTTTAGAAGCATCTTAGCAAAACAATATTCAACAAGCTTCTGCTTTTAAAGGACCTCAGAGTGTAGCTATTTATATGTGAAAAAAACCACAGGATTTCATTTCTCAAAACGGACACGTTTTCAACTAATGGAGAATAGTCCTCTCTTACACTTTCAGCATCTCACTAAGACTGCCCTTAAAAATGCTCTCTTGCATCTTAATAGATGATATCACCCCCTTTATATCATGTTTCATATTTTATATACAACTCTTTTGCACAAGAATTTCTAATTTGCAAATTAATCTATATTTATGCAAATCTAGGCTAACAAAAACTTGATTTTGGCCACAAATATCAGTAAACACAATGACATGAAGGAAAAAAATAGCCCAGGTATTTCACAAGGCCTTCAACTCTGGCAACAGTAAGAGGATGAGGGGAGTAAGGAAGAAGGAAGGAAAGAAAGAGAATGGAAGGACTTTAGAGACATTAATATGTATTGAAACAGAATAAAAATACCATTACAACTCAAATGACCTGGCTTGACAATAACAAATTTTAAACAATGCATAACTGAACTGGATTTCCTAGAGGTATTTGCTATTAGACTAACTAAGAAAAGACAATTAGTAAAGATATGTAAAAGATGTGTGGAAATTGCACTGCCCTGAAAGGTCATGCTCAATACAGAGAATGACTGTAAGGAAAGCTCTTCCCTCTTGACATTAACATTCTTTAGTATTTGTGTGTTGATGAAATTTCTAATGAAACAAAATCAGCAGGCATTGTCAGGACCAAGGATGATCAGAACAAATATAACAAGGACTGGATAACCTTGAGGACTGTAGCAATATTAAGAACACTGATTTATGTGAACAGTGTTATGAAATGCCAAGTCATGTGTTCTTAGCATTATGCAAAAAAATTCTTCAAAAAGCCAGCAAGAACCCACTGCTGGAAAATGAGTGAGGAAGGGAAAGACCTTACTGTACTGTTCCAGAAAGGACCCTCCTGTGATATGCACTTGTGAAGAAGGCAGAGGTGGCTCTTTGAAGAAAGGCAGGATTAATGCCATAGTGTAATACAGATTTCATCTGGGACACTGTTCATGGTACTAATTATTCCTGATGAAGAACTAATGCCAGTTCTGCATTTCTCTTAACATGCTCCTGCATGAGAAAGCTAAAAAAGACTGGAATATTCAGTTTAATGAAATGAAGTCTATGAGAAACTGCAAGTGTTTTCATTAAATGTGTTATGAAGGTCCCAGTAGGGCCAGAGAAGACACCGAATTAAAAAAAAAGAAATTGTAGGCCTAAGCAGTGAGTATTAATTTCATGCTTTCATAGGCATGAAAAGACCTGGGGTAGGAATTCATAGAATATCTAACCACTACAAGAAAGCAGTGTTGAAACAGGCATCCAAGAGGATCAGAAGGGCAAGAAACCAACCTTCTTCAGGCATGCAGCTTAAGCACTTTTTAGAAGTGATTATGACTTCAGCACCTGCATTGAATGACTTGGAAAGTGACTTTCAATCTTATTCATCCTACCCATCTACCTACCAGCACTTTTGCCTTAAGTGATTCATGAAGAGTAGACACACAGGTTTTCATCAGGACAGAATGATTGTTTATGAAGACCAATCATTTTCTAAAGCAGTGTGAAACAAGGTTTCACAAGTTCAAAACACAGGTCAAGTGTTACTTTATCCACATTCTTTAGTGGACTTTATTATTGCAATGACAGACAGGCTGGCTACCCTTAGTATCCTGATTTAAATCCATTTTACCTTTGTGATGCTGCAACAGAGCTCACAAATCCACACATGACCTCTGCTCCAGGCATCCCAACTTCTATGGTAAATTCAACTTCTACCCTTTCTATGATAAAATGAGCATTAAGTTTTCATACTGAGTGGAACAATTTTGAGCACTCAATACCTCAGTTTTTAGGATTGTTTCTTGAAAGATAAGTGACCTGAATCAAACCTCTACTCTAAATCAGATAAAAGGGAAATTTCAATTTACAAGTACCATATTCTAAGTCTGAATGAGAACAAGTGCTCTCACTGAAAAGCAGAGACACAACTTAATTTTGTGCTTTGCCCAAGGACTGACCTGACAGAAATTTCCTGGGAACATTTTCCAGAGCAGGTTGTGAAAGGATGAAAGGAGAGATATCTACTTTGTGAATCCCAATAAGACTTAGTCATCTCAGCAATGCAGAGATGGCAAGACCTTGTTGGCCATTTAAACAATGCTGTAAACAGAGAGAAAGGATTTCCTCTGACTCTCCAGCTTCTCACCTTACACACACAATTGGAAAATAGGAAAATACCAGGTCCTTGCTACAAGTACAATTAAAAGACACTGTCACAGCAAAAATTTTCTCAAAAAAAAATCTCTGTAAGCTTGAATTATGCCAATCGATTTCTCACACATTATAATTACCTAATATATATACTACCTATATACTGGTTGCAGGTACAAGATCCTGAATCAAATGCTATCAATGGAAATTGTACACAGAACTACAAAAAACCCCAAACAAACCAGATTTTATCCACTCTCAGTGCAGAGTCCACCATTACATTTGCTGCCTGTGAATATCAGTACACAGAATTTTAATTATAGTCTCAACTCTGCTTACATATGCATGGAAATTATTTCAGGCAACAGTGTCACAAGAATTTTAGCATATCTGTAAATTCCAATAAGATGAATGAAATCTGGACACAAATGTAAAGCATATTCTTAAATGCTTCCTCAAACAGAAGTTCAGCCACATCGAGTTCTTACCAGACTGTAGCAGAAATTAAGCACAGAAATCGCACATATTTCATAATACAGAACTTATTTTTAAAATGCACATACTTGTGTACTGTATATTAAAATGTTACATTAATCTTGAAAGTTTTTATATAAAATCTTAATTAGGGTGTTAAATAACATGCTTGCAATATTGTCACTATAAAAGTGATCATGAATTTTTTTCAGAGACAAGAGAGATTTTACTTGACGAGTTTTATCTACATAAGTTCAATAGACACCAGCCATTAAATCAGTGTATATATAAACAGACTGTTTACATGCTTTGAAAGTTTAACTAGAGCACAGTGGTTAGGAAAAAAACCCACAAAACACCTATTTCAAGGACAATTCTAACCTCTTGCATTCGTTTATAAATGGAAACAAGCTGCTACACAGTTCAGCAGTAAAGGAGGATAAAGAACTGATATAATCCTTGTGCTCCTCATATGAACTCCAACAAGGCATTTCAATGAGACTTTTAAAGCTGTAAATTGTCTATAAAAACACAGAATAACTTTTGCTAATCCTCGTGCCACAAATTACTAATCCATCTGGAAAGCTATTTTTTTGCTTGTGTTTACAAGGATCTAAACATCATCAGACAGAAAGACAACTGGGTTAGTAGCATGTAAAAAAAATCAAAAAAAACCCAACAAACCGAAAAAAAACACCCCTGAATGCAAAACATGAAAAAACCAGAACTCAACAGAAATAAAAACTCCCAAGCAGTTGAGCACGAATAAGTAGGATTTGCAGAAGTACTTACAGCTTTCAATCTCCAGCGTGCAGTTCTGCTCATCCAGCGGATATCTCCGCAGGTCCATCATGCAAGCAGCTGTTGTTGTAATTCTGGGGAGGAAGGAGAAGAGTTTGTTAATGTGCCTCATTTCAATGTTTCCTCGATCACACTTTGTTGAAAGAAGAAACTGTATTTCTGCAGAGCTGATGCTCTGCCTGGGTGCCATGGCTGCTGCTGGCTGGGCACCAGGGCTGTCCCAGGGAGGCTCTCCCAGCACAGCTTCCCCTCGATGGGTATCTTCTGCTGTGTGCTAAGCACAGCTGACTGGCCAAAGCACTGGGGAACCTGCTTCCACACCACGACAAAAATGAGAGCACTGGGCAGCAGACATTTGTACAAAGCTTTCTTCAAGCTGAAAGGCTGACCAAATGAATGAGCTCAAACTGTAAAATCCAAGATGATGAGCTCCACAATGGGACCCAGGGTGGACCAGATGGAGTACCTACAGCATGTGTAGACACTAAGACATTACAGGATCAATGTCTTGCCAAGGTATTAATGAGAGATTGGGTGACCAACAGTTTTCTTCTCAACTTCCTGTGCCATGTATGAGGTTTACTATTGGCCTTTCATAATAGATATTTAGAATGTTCAATAAGAGTTCGAAATTTATTGTAAATTCTCTGTTCTGATAAAAAGACTTCAGAGAACTCTTTCATTTGACAGATCTTATTATTTCTCCTCCAATACCTAAAAAGTGTTCATTAGTGGCAGAAAATTACAGGTTGCCTGGTTAAAATTCACTCAAAATTGACTGTAGCAACTATTTCTGAAGGCATTTAAGAACCTTCATAAGTAAGATCACTGTCCTATCCTATTGGTCTCTTGGAGAAAAGGAACATCTTTTGGTACCAAGTTCTTTCTTCATTCCATATAGGCCTACTCATAGAATTGCTTTGGAAAATATAATAGTTTTAATCAGTGTGTGTTACCAGAGATTCTTCACAAGAAAGCTTTTTGGAGTGGGACAAAAGCATGGGGAAAAGGCTCCTTTGGTGCCTCTCAGTGAAAGCCTTCCAGCTTTTGACAAAATCAGACTACTGAGGAAATGCAAATGCAAATGGAGCAAGAAGTAGCACATATGGGTAAAAAAACCTCTTGGCAGTTAATAGTTGGTTCCTTATTTTTAAATTTAAAGAAAAATCAAAGAAATTGCCCTGTTCCAGTATTAATATAAGATTGATTATTTTGGGGAAATCTTCAAGAAAGGTATAGTGAGACCAGAAAAAAAAAATTACAGCTCATGTTTTTTTGTTGGGTTATGTTTGGGTTTTTTGTGGGGAGGTTTGTTTTGATTTCCTCACTGCTTCTATACTTACCTGTATATTATAGTCAGGATTTTACAAGGGTTTCAGTAGTTCACAGAGGAAAAGGCAGAGCAGAGACTTACAGCCAAGGTAAGTCAACCTGGTTGACTACTAAGTCTTCTCAGAGCTTTCTCTGCACTAAACACTTCTTTCTAGAGTCTACCAGATCCAAGGGTTCCACTCAGAGACAACCCCCAGCCCATGCTACCCTCTGCAAAGTGTCTGTCCCCACCGATGGAGTGGAGAACTCACAATTCTCACACATTTCCAGAGGATTTTTTGGTACAAAAAACCGAGAGGGGCCAAAGGCTGCAGACAGTTGGGATAAAAGCTCTGTAGGGAACATCAGGAAATCTTTAAAGGACACAATGCCCTGCACCTCACTAGGAAGTAAAGGGGGGGAAAGTGACATGGTAAGGAAAATGATTTGTAGAGCAGAGATTTAATCAAGTCAAAACAGAAGTTTTGAATAATGTATTAAATTCAACTTGCTTGTTCCTTCCTATCCATAATGCAAATCCATTGAAATAAAATCAGTAGCCTGTCCTTTCCTCTTACCTCCCTCCCCTTATATTTTTAGCCTGGCTTCTCACATTTATAGTAAAGTAGAAAAAGTTCTCTTTCATCTTCATAATTAATTAAACAGCAAAACTACCTTTAGATAATTCTTGGTGGTTCACAATTCATGGTGATTAGCTAAATCAATTTACTAAAGCAACAGAGTGCAAGAATTACCACCTTGGAATACTTTTAAAGGCAAGAGACATGACCCACACCTCAGACAGAGGAAGAAACAGCAGTTCATTTTAGAAGTTGGGAACACTTGAAACAGGCCCAAAGCCTCTCCCCCAGAGCAGAGCTGTTTCAATTTTCACAGCGGGATTAAAAGTATTTTTATACAGTCTGTACTAGTGCAAAAAATATAACATTGTGTTTTGCATAATGTAACCTTGAGAACAAACAGTGAAAAAGTAAAAGCTTTTAAAAAACAACACTGTGACTCAAGGCACTGCAGTCATTAGGGATGATGCACAATAACAGGACTCAGAGAGGCACCACATGAAATGAAACACATCACAGAACTGTCTCTCTCATACACTCATCTTTTCATCTGTTGCTGAAGAAAGAGAAACCTTGTGATATTTTATGATGCCTAACAATGAAAATGAGTTTTCATCTTCTTCTTTTATGAACTATAGTTTGAATGTAGACTGATTATGGAGCACAAAATAATATGCAAACCCTGAAGCACCACTAAACTGACTAAATAAAGTATTATGAAGTAGACCTACGTTAAAACAAGCACAGCTACACTGCAGAAAATCTGCACCACAACTGACTTGCAAGGAAAGTAAAGGTTGCTGTCAGTAATTCAAAATAATTCAGATAAACTGAGAAAGATGAAAATCTGCTTACCTTGGAGGGTTTGGGATTCAAATAAGAGTCAGAAATTCTCACTACTTCTTTAAGAGGCCAAATGTGAAGGTCATAAAGAACTTTTAAACATTTCCAAACTTAAAGTGAGGCAGAAAATAAAACCCATATTACAATACTATCCCAGAAGTACTAGTAGGTCTTATTTTTCAGTTCTATGCAGGGAACAGTTTTTCAAAATCCTATAAATTTTGCTTTTCTGACAAGTTCAAATATGATTTGAAAGCCAAAATAGCAACTTAAACAGTTCTGACATCACTAGTGAAGAAAAAAGAGCACTGGAAGACAGGAGAGCAATGCTAATGCCATGTGGAGATGGACAGAATCCAATTCCCTCTTGGAGCTGCAATGGCTTTGCAAAGCTGTGGAGAATAAGCAGTAAGAGAAACTTATCCCTGCTCTGGAAGGAAGCAGCCCTGACCTGTAATTACAGGTTTACAGACACACAGGAACGGTGAGCAAGAGGGTGACAAATTCAGATAGCTCTCCTGAGTAGAGTGGTAGTGCAAGAACTCTGTCACATCCTCCTCTCCTGTTCTAGCTCTTACAGACCAGGATCCTGTGGACTCAAAGAAAGAGCTGAAGCCCAGGAGGAAAACACAAAAACTAATTCTTTCTCTAAATGTATGCACACATACACTGTTGAAAGCAGAGTGAAATTGTGCTTCAGCTTTGTGTATCTGTAAGTTGACTGACTCCCCATCAACACCAGGAGCAATCCAAAGAACTCACAGGGACAAGAGACTCAGTCTCTTTATTGGGATTTTATAAGAATTCTCTGTGTGTGGTTAAAGAGAGTCAGAAACTCTCTAAATGAGTTACTGAAATAATTTACTGTAGCTAAACCCACTCTTCACCTTTGCTTCTTGGAAAAAGTCGTCGTGCATGACAGTTGGAAATGCCTGTGACAGCAGCAGCCAGCAGAACCAATTTTAAATACCCGGAAATTCTGGGAACAGAACATCAGGGGGATAAATCTCTCTCCTGGATGATAACACTGGATTTAAACATATGTCAAGATTGATATACATTCTAACAGAGCTACTTTTAAATAAAATAAATTTATTGCTAATTAGAGAGTTCACAGAATTTTTCTCCTGTTTATTTACAGAAAATAAAAGTTTCCCTTGTGTGATCATAGGTAAAGAGTTGGCTGTAGGTAACTCCAAACAATAATGACGTTTCTAAAAGTTCAACATTAAATCTAAAAATTCAGCTACTGAATTTTTCATCTATAAATCAGCTATAAACTTTCAACTGTACACAGCATATAGAGTCTCAGTGTAGTTTTATCGGAAAAGAACAGCTTTTTTATTGATGTTGATGTCTCTATTTGAGATGAAACAATATGCACATGCTACCTAGAATCTGTAATATGCTCTCCTCCAACACCACTGCTCACCATTTCCTGAGTATTCCAACCTAAGTGTCAACAGCTCACTTTTCTTACTCCATTTAGAAGTAATGACATGTAGAAATTTCCCCCTTGATTCTGTAGTGTGCAATCCTGAGACAGTAAGGTGTTCTCTGAAAGCACTAAGTATATTTGTCAAAGCTGAAAGGCACAACCATAATGCAAATACAAAGAATAAGAAAGGATATTATAGTAAAGCATTATCTAAATGTAATACAAGAGAGGAAAAAACTTTTGCAGTTGATATAACACAGGGAATCAGAACCCAGACAGAAACTTTGACCTCATTAAGTTTTGTTGTTGCTGAGATTATTGGTAAAAGAAACATACCAGACTTTTTAAAGGAAACTAAAATCTAAATGCCTCTGATCTTTCTTGGGAAGATGTTCTGCATTTTTCTGCTGAAGTGCAGCCTATTATGCCATCTGCATGCCAGAAGGGAAGAGTCACGGAAAACCAGAGAACTGAGCTCTTATTTCATGGTAAAAGAATTCTGTCACAGAAGAAACAGAATCTTGCTGCAGGGTTCCATTCCATCTTCTGCTATATGCTATACATGTAGCTCTATAAATTTTTCTTTAAGTGAGATAGCTTCTCCTACTATCCTGTCACTGTGTCCAAAATTCAGCCATAACACCATTGTAATTTGAGTCCTTGCAAAAAACACACATTACACTGCAGTAAAATCTTCTGCTACAATAACTTCAACTTTAGACTGAATTCATTCGAACCTTTCTCTGAAGTAATAGGTTCTTCTCCAGAAAATAACACCTACATAAAATGGCAGAAAAGCTCAGAGGAGCACTTCATAATTTTAATATTTTATCACTGAGAAATGTATCCTTGTCTTTCAGCATTCACTTCACTTCTCCCTTTCAAAAGAAATAAATAAAAG